CTGAGCGCCTATGGATGTGTCCAGAGTGCTGTGAAGATAATCTAACTCATGAAGGAAAAAATACTACCTACTCTGCCTGTTCTGTTTTATTATCATGGAACTGACAGAATTCAAATGATTTCTGTTAACAAAGAAATAGAAAAAGTCTTGTATTTATAAGTTAATGTCTCCAACGAATTAGAAAATATGTGATACTGTTGCCTCTAACAGATATAAATGATTAGACACATACTCAGTCTCTGATAACCTGAGAACATTACAATCGGAAATCATGATAAAGAGACAACAGACATACCTGACAACGAGACAACATCAGACATACCTTTTCTCGTACAGTGAGAATTCAACAAGCAAACTTACCAATGTTAACAAAACAACATCAGACATACCTTTTCTCTTACAGTGAGAATTCAACAAGCAAACTTACCAATGTTAACTAAACAACATCAGACATACCTTTTCTCGTACAGTGAGAATTCAACAAGCAAACTTACCAATGTTAACTAAACAACATCAGAGACACTAGTGTGTCTGATAAACAGAAAACACGAGACACATTCTGATAAACAGGCAACATGTCCGTCTCCAGCAACACAAGGAAAAACCCAGCCATATTAACAGTTATGACCACCATATAACACGGTACACATTTACGTATGCGATAACCAGAAACCTCTAGAAATATGCCTGTGTACGGTCAGAATATTTAAAATATATATCATAACTGGAAAAAATATGCTTTGTTCTCCTGTACTATGAAATTCAATCGCGCACACAACAAATTTTTAAAAAATAAACCAAGGCCAAATCTGGCAACATAATATCCCAATCCTTTGCCAGGAAACCAACTATTAAATGCCAAATGTAACATCTAAGGCGGCAATAATATACAATGGAAGCTTGCTGTCTGAAAGACTGTTCAATGGACATTCCGACTTTATTCCGACCTAATGCATTTATCTGACCCATATATTCATGGACATTTCCATTTTCTACAATCATATACTAGTTAACTCTTTTAGTACCACAGGATAGTTAACTTAGTTATAAACCAACAGGTGGTGCGTTTCTTGGTCCTCAAAGAGTTAAGCAGAAAAAAAACCAAACCGTTCTTCATCTTTTACTGACCCCATATAAGGAGAATCCTGGAGCTCCGCGTAAAGTCTGAGATTACAAGGCTGTTACAGTTTGAAATGAACACCAACGAACCCTAACACCCCTATAATACTGGGCTTTCCTGGGAACTCTAGGAATCATTGTATTTGGGGTGAAAAAAAAACAGAAACAACTGAACTTAATCAACAGATGTAGCTAATGTTGCTTTCGTGTTTTTCTTTAAACTGTGTTGCCTCTACAGTGAAGGCTAGCTGCTCTACTTCCTCTGCTGTCTTAAAAAATATTAAATGGTGACATCGAATCTCTTTCATGGTTTGATTCTCATACCACTGCCTGAGAGCCAGGAGAACAGTATTTTTCCTCTAAATCAACTAGCATGGGAATTGATCTCTTGGTACATCAAGGATTCACCTGTTTAATAACATCCTCTTCTTCATTTCCTTTTTTACTGCTTCAGGTGTTGAGAGAGATTTGAGGTTCTGCTTCTGGCTCTTCTGACCACCTCGACCACTGATGCAGTGTGCTGATGTAGGAGTTTCTCTGGTGTTATATTTTATCATGTTCTTGGTCTACTCTGAGTTTTACATCTCATTTCCCTCTTTTGGTGCATGTACTGCATGGTATGGCATCACAAGGCATTCTCTCTTTGTGGGCAAGCAATTTTATTTTCTCTGTATTTTTTTCTTCTTCTGCCTTTCTATCCCCCAATGGAGCATAGATCCGCAACCAACTCTCACGCCAAGTCATTCTATCCTTCGCCATTACATGGAGCTCTCCCCATCTTTCTAACTTTATTCTCCAGCTCTCTTCTCCACTTGTTTTTTGGCCTTCCTTTATTCCTATGCCCGTGGGTTCCAATGCAAAGACAATTCTAGTTATGCTGTTCTCCTGTTTTCTCAGTGTGTGTCCTGCCAGCATCTTTTCCTCACCTCTTGGTCCACTGACGCCTGTTTAGTTCTCTCCCAAAGCTCTACATTAGTTATTCTATCACACCATTTAATTCCCTCTATTCTGCAACGGCACCAGTTAATGAATGGCTGTAATTTTTTAGTGGTTGCCTTAGTTGTTCTCCATGTTCCCGCCCCATACAAAAGTATTGATTCTACATTAGAATAAAAAAAATTTTAGTTCAGTATTTCTTTTGACCTCCACAAATTCCCTAGTGCTATGAAAGCTCCTCTTGCCTTTTGTATTCTTATTTTAATATCTCTATCAGTTTCCCTGTCTTTATCTACATTACTGCCCATCTAATCAGGTATTAGTTCTGTGCCAACTGTTTCTCTATTGATTTTATTCCTGATTTGATCTTTTCTGGTCACTCCTACAGCCTTTTTAGACATTTCATGTCCATCACTCCTACAGCCTTTTTAGACATCTCATGTCTGTCACTCCTACAGCCTTTGTTAGATATCTCATGTCCATCACTCCTACAGCCTTTGTTAGACATTTCATGTCCATCACTCCTACAGCCTTTTTAGACATCTCATGTCTGTCACTCCTACAGCCTTTGTTAGATATCTCATGTCCATCACTCCTACAGCCTTTGTTAGACATCTCATGTCCGTCACTCCTACAGCCTTTTTAGACATTTCATGTCCATCACTCCTACAGCCTTTTTAGACATCTTATGTCTGTCACTCCTACAGCCTTTGTTAGATATCTCATGTCCGTCACTCCTACAGCCTTTGTTAGACATCTCTTGTCTGTCACTCCTTCAGCCTTTGTTAGATATCTCATGGCCATGGTTGCTAATCCTTTTTCCCCCCTTTCTTCTGGTCTATTCTGAGTGCCCATGTCTGAAACTGGTAGCACGGAGTGGGAATAAATATGTTTTGTATGAGATGTTTTCACCAATCTCTAAGCCATATCGTAATATACTTCAGGATGTCAAGCATACCCTCCCATAGGCTAGTGGATCTTATGCTCATAGTTCTGAAAAAGGCGCTAAACTAGAATAGTTCACGCGCATGCTTCTTCTTCTCCAGCATTTCGAGCCCTTGAGGTTCAATGCCGCAGATATCACTCGCCTCCATTCATCTCTCTAGTTTGCCTTCTCTTTCTAGTTGGTAACACTTGTGCGCATGCTGCACAAGTTAAAAACCCTTTCTCAGCTCCAAACTGAAATGAGTCAGCCCAGGCAGGCAGTATTAAGTTAGTTGCATATTCTTTACAGGATGTTACAAAACCAACCCCAGCATTTTTGGCTGTTGTAGTTTTTTTCTAAGCAAATTTTAAGTTCAGTAATCTGCCAATGTTTTTTTTTGGGAGCAGTCAACGCTCAGTACTGCTTTCAAATCGCCTGCTTCTGGGATCGTATCAGACACTATGAAGCATGTTCACAATGCCAAAGCCACAGACCAGGCAGGCAGTATTATACAACTCTACACTCAAAAAAAAAAGAGAATCCTAGCAAGTGTGATTTTGAAATGCAAACAGTGAGATCCTCACCAGTGCTAAGGAAGCTGTGCACTCTGCAGAGATCTTCCTTGTATGAGTGACGGAGGAGACTAAAGCACTCACCCCGGCTCAAATGAAGGAGTGTGCATATCATATGTGTCAAGAGAAACTTGATCACACAACCTGTTGTCTACTAGAAGCACCGTGACTTTTTATTAGTTTTTGCCTGATGACAGTACCATGGTTTTCTTTCATACTTTACCACCCGGTTAAACTACACCCCGGTTTTTTGTTACACATCTTGCCAGTTAAAACTACACTCTGGTTTTTGTTACACATTTTGCCAGCTGAAACTACACCCAGGTTTTTGTTACACATTTTACCAGCTGAAACTACACCCAGGTTTTTGTTACACATTTTGCCAGCTGAAACTACACCCAGGTTTTTGTTACACATTTTACCAGCTGAAACTACACCCAGGTTTTTGTTACACATTTTACCAGCTGAAACTACACCCAGGTCTTTGTTACACATTTTGCCAGCTGAAACTACACCTAGGTTTTTGTTACACATTTTGCCAGCTGAAACTACACCCCGGTTTTTGTTACACATTTTGCCAGCTAAAACTACACCCAGGTTTTTGTTACACATTTTGCCAGCTGAAACTACACCCAGGTTTTTGTTACACATTTTGCCAGCTGAAACTACACCTAGGTTTTTGTTACACATTTTGCCAGCTGAAACTACACCCAGGTTTTTGTTACACATTTTGCCAGCTAAAACTACACCCAGGTTTTTGTTACACATTTTGCCAGCTGAAACTACACCCAGGTTTTTGTTACACATTTTGCCAGCTGAAACTACACCCCGGTTTTTGTTACACATTTTGCCAGCTGAAACTACACCCAGGTTTTTGTTACACATTTTGCCAGCTGAAACTACACCTAGGTTTTTGTTACACATTTTACCAGCTGAAACTACACCCAGGTTTTTGTTACACATTTTACCACTTTTTGACAGCACAGTTTCTGTCAGCAAACCACCTGTGGACAACGCTATAGTTTTTGTTACAGTTTATTACCCACTGGAAGGACAATGTCTTGTGTTTACCCCCTGTTGTCATCAGTTATAGTTTTTATGTTACAGTTTACCACCCACTATCATCAGTAATGTTTACTTTACAGTTTACCACCTTCTAACAAACCACATTTTACAGCTATAACTGGTTATGCCCACACTTTTCAACAATACCTTTCATTACTGTGAAAAATACATTCAGCTCTTCCTTCTTTGTTATAATTCAATAAGCTGCTTTAAATGCAGCTGTTTTTTTAAATTTTGTTTTTGTGTTTTTTTTAAACAAAAGTCTTTAGCTTTTTGTTGCCAACAGCTTCAAATTCCTCACAGTTTTCAGAGGCCAGTCCTTTAGACAGACACGAGCTTATGGCCTTATGAAGAAAACTAATTTAATTTGATACAGCAAAATGTTACACTTCTAAAAAATCTTTGAGCAAAGTCAGTCTTCTCTTCTCTGCTACATCCATTTGGTTTTCTAATTCCTGCAAAAAAAAACAAATGTGCACCAAGTCAGTACAATGAAACAAAAGACTTTTTATTAGTCAGTAAAGTATCCTTATAGTCAGTAAAGTGAAGTGAAGTAACCTCTTCAGTCAGTAAAGCGAAGTGACCTCTTCAGTAAGTGAAGTGAAGGACCCTCTTCAGTCAGTAAAGTGAAGGACCCTCTTCAGTCAGTAAAGTGAAGGACCGTCTTCAGTCAGTAAAGTGAAGTGACCTCTTCAGTCAGCAAAGTGAAGGACCCTCTTCAGTCAGCAAAGTGAAGGACCCTCTTCAGTCAGTAAAGTGAAGGACCCTCCTCAGTCAGTAAAGTGAAGGACCCTCTTCAGTCAGTAAAGTGGAGTGACCTCTTCAGTCAGTAAAGTAAAGTGACCTCTTCAGTCAGTAAAGTAAAGTGAAGGACCCTCTTCAGTCAGTAAAGTAAAGTGAAGGGACCCTCTTCAGTCAGCAAAGTGAAGGACCCTCTTCAGTCAGTAAAGTGAAGGACCCTCTTCAGTCAGTAAAGTGAAGGACCCTCTTCAGTCAGTAAAGTGAGGGACCCTCTTCAGTCAGTAAAGTAAAGTGAAGGGACCCTCTTCAGTCAGTAAAGTGAAGGACCCTCTTCAGTCAGTAAAGTGAAGGACCCTCTTCAGTCAGTAAAGTGAAGGACCCTCTTCAGTCAGTAAAGTGAAGGACTCCATTTTAGTCAACAAAGTGAAGTAAATGACCCTTTTTATGCCAGTGGCACACTGTGCATATGATCATCATCATCATTATCATCATAAACCACTTCGGCCGTTAAGAGCCGCGGGGAGAAATAATTTGCGATCCAGTGCACGTCAGCTGCCACTGGCTATTGTCATGCTGTGAAGGCGAAGAGGGTCTTTAATGTTGTTGTTGATCCATGTTTTCCGCTGCCGTCCTCTTGCTCTTGTAGCTGATCTTCTGAGATGTAGTGCTTGTGATGTTATTTGATCTTGCTGCATTATCCGGTCACTTTGTTTACAGTGACAGCGTGGTCGGTGATCTGTCTATTTTGTGCCCTGATATATATTTGTGGGTCTGGATTATTCTACACTTGGTTAGTACAAAATATCAAGAAAACTTGTTAACTATAGTTGATGAAAAATTGATGGAGTTTCTGTCAAAGAGAGATAGCGAAGATGACTTTGAAATGTGTACTTCTGACAGTGAACAAGAAGATTTGACTAGGCCATCAATATCGATGGCTCAAACTGGCGCGTTCAAGAAAAAGCTGCTTGCCTGTTCGACGTCGTCATCATCAGAACCAGAAAGCAGAGACAATGAAGTGCGCCATCAAAAACTGGCACAAAATTGATCAGTTGTCATGGTCAACCAATAATATGATACGAGTAGTGCATAATTTTGATGATTTCAGCTCTGGCTGTATTTCTGCTACTGAAAATTCAAACAGGCCTGTGCGTGATTTTTTTCTACTTTATTTCCACAGAATCACTGATGACTTTCATCGCAGAGGAAACTAACAGGTTCTGCAAGGAAGTAATTGAGAAGACACCTGCCACTACAAGTTCTCGTCTTTCCCGATGGACAGACACAGTTTTGGACAAAAAATTTTTTGTTGTTGTTGTTGTCTGCTAATGCTAAGAACGATGAAACTCAAAATAAATGAGTACTGGAGCAAAGACTGTTTGCTAAAAACTCCCATGTTTAGTGAAATAATGTTGAGGGACAGATTTTTACTTTTGTTAAGAAATTTACATTTCTCAGACGACAGTGCTAATGCAGGCGGCGATAGACTGTACAAAACTAGACAGATTATTGATTGTGCACATAGTTTCAGGGTGCATTTTCACCTTATCATGATGCAATTATCCATGAATCACTACTTCTTTACAAAGGAAGATTATCTTTCAAACAGTACGATCTGTCAAAAAGATAGTCTAGTGTAGTTGGTATCACGTCCGCCTTAGAATCGGAAGGTCTTGTGTTTAACCCCTAACCTTGGTTTTCTTTTTTTTTAATTGTAAATTTTCCTTTCAGTTCTTGCCCCTTTTCAGCAATGGAGGACTCAAGTATTTTAAATATTTTTTAATGCAATAACATGGTGACTACAATTAACTATGATTAAATTTGGGATAGGGAACAGTTTTTACTAACCCCCCCCCCCCCCCCCCCCCCCCCTGAGGTGGTAGCTTCGTTGGTCAAGTTTGTGTGGCATCGTGCCTCTGACTTGTCACCACTCAGGCCAACCACACAACCTCCTAAAGTAAAAAATTTTTAGGTGTACAAAATACAGCCCTCACCGCCGATGCATCTTTTGTGTTTTGGAGGATAGAAAAGTATTGCGCACAGCAAACACTATTTTTTCCACATTGCTTAGCACAGGGCAGACACCTACGGCCAGGAACATAGCAGCAAAAGTGTTAATGCCAAGTACTCTTCTTAGACATTGCATTTGGAAGCAAGGTTAGCAGCTGTAGGGATAGACAAATACACTAACAACCACAGCTGTCCCCATTGCCCCTTTAGAAGAAAGAACTAACACATGAACATACCCCTCTATCTGTGATCTCGGCTCTCTCCACCTTCCAGGACAGATTTTCTACTTCGGCCTCAAGTTGAGCCTGCTGGTACTCAAACTGTGAAAGGAAAGATCTTTACTTAAGTCTCCAATTGAACAACACAATTGAAGCCTGACACACAATACTAATTCTAGGCCCTGCCCCAAAGAAACATAGGTGCAAATTCATTAAACAAAATTGCACCTTATACAAGCACCTCTTCAACTTCCCAGTGTCTCATTTTGCATAGGTACAAAAATTGAAAAAAGGAGGGAAAAAGGAAAGAGACCCACTGCCACCTAACAATGCATGTAGCAGAAGGAGACTAATGTTGCTAGAATTGGATATGCTGGACTAACAGGCACAGATATTACAGCTTAGATGTAAACCTGAACAGAATGTGTCAACCACCCTTGGTAATCACTAATGCACAAGAAGAAATAATAAGACTTTAATATGTCACAAACAAAAATCATATGCCTCTTAGTGTATGCACTTAATAAAAAAAAAAAATAATTGAAAAGAACCCCTTCTGACTTCATTAGATGTATGTGGACATGTGGTATTTCCATGTTTTAGAATTTTTGACAATGAAAATGTCTAACTCCTTTTTATGTAAACAGAAGGAATTCATTATAAATTCAAAGTTACCCTTGTAAGTCATGTGACGATTGTAAATTTTCAGTGATTAGATGAACATGATGCATCAAGAGCAGGCATTTGTATTTTATTTGAATTTGTTCAGTGTGTGTGTGTGTGCTTGCGCGCTCTCTTCATTATATGTTGACGTAACTCTGCAGTAACACACCTAGAGAGATACAGCAAAACTTGGCGCAATAAACTGTTTGTACTAGCATTATTTAAATTCATTACGGGAAAAACATTCTTCTGAAAATTTGAATTTTAACTGTAAATTCTCAGCACAATCTTGTTAATGTGACTAAAATAATTATAAATTTCCTTTCCATTTAGCAAATTAAAATCTAGTTTAAAAAAATCTGTTGCTGAAACTGGAGAAGACACCTCAGAACCAACCACAGTATTTCTTGACAGTCTGGTTTTACTAGGCAATATTATGGTCAGTAGTTTGTTATTTCTTTCTCAACAGTTCATGCTCCGTACCACTGTTTAACTTAGTGCAAAGCTGTCTGCTGTCAAACTGCTTGTACCTAGAAATAAATTCAGTATTTTGGAATTATAAGGTGTCTTCAAATGACCTAAGCTACAGACAATGACAAAATCTGTATATAGACTGCAATATGTAATACTGCACTAAATTAAAAAAATTGCATAAAAAATAAAAACAGAAGAAATCAACCCTATTCCACACTCTATAAAATGATTACAAAACAGACGGTGTACTAACCAGATCTTTCCTATTATCCAGATAGTATGCATACGGGTAAGTGTATTGTAGTGTGTATCGACACTAGGAAAATAGAAAATAAACAAGAAAGAAATTAGTATACATGTTTTAATGAATAAAAATGCATTTTCTTTATTCTAAAATGTTTAACATATGGTTTTAAAATAAAATTACAAATTTGTTGCCTGATAGTGAAATGTTTCTGTGATTTTGATGATCAAGTGAGTGGCAACTGATCACCTGCTGCACTTATAAGCATGGCATTTGATGATGTTGATGGTAAAGTTTATAAGTAAATGTCTTTAATATATATATATATATATGTTATTTAAACAGTTATACAGCTGCCTTGCAGTATACATAAAACAGCCATGAAGCTAAAAAGTGTTCTATGCCTGAAGGAACATCACCAAAACATTGTATGTGAACCTTCTTCTTCTTCTGCCTTAAATTTCCCCAACACAGCACCAGCCTTAAATTTCCTCAACACAGCACCTGCCTTAAATTTCCCCAACACAGCACCAGCCTTAAATTTCCTCAACACAGCACCTGCCTTAAATTTCCTCAACACAGCACCTGACCTGCCTTAAATTTCCTCAACACAGCACCTGCCTTAAATTTCCTCAACACAGCACCTGCCTTAAATTTCCTCAACACAGCACCTGCCTTAAATTTCCTCAACACAGCACCTGCCTTAAATTTCCTCAACACAGCACCTGCCTTAAATTTCCTCAACACAGCACCTGACCTGCTTTAAATTTCCCCAACACAGCACCTGACCTGCTTTAAATTTCCCCAACACAGCACCTGCCATTAATTTCTCCAACACAGCACCTGCCCTATATTTTCCCAACACAACATCAGCCTAAATTTCCCCAACACAGCACCTGACCTGCCCTAAATTTCCCCAACACAGCACCTGACCTGCTTTAAATTTCCCCAACACAGCACCTGCCTTAAATTTTCTCAACAGAGCACCTGCCCTATATTTCTCCAACAGAGCACCAGCCTTTAATCAATCATCTTAGGAGTAGTAGAACATGGCTCCGCCAGGAAGTGAACCCACGACCTTCCGATCTACTGTGAAAGAGGTTACTTATTTTTTTCTTTTCAACATCCTTCCTGTTAGGGTGCAGTGTTGCTTCCATGTTTCCTCGAAAATAAGACTGTCTCTTATTCATTTTTGTTTCAAAACATGCACTGGGACTTACTTTCAAGGCATGTCTTTTTCCACAGACATAAAAGTCTACATTTATTCATGCATAAAATTCAACACTTATTCTAATGCATTCATGCATAAAATTCAACACTTATTCTAATGCATTCATGCATAAAATTCAACACTTATTCTAATGCATTCATGTCTTCTTCTTCTTCAGTAACATCCTCATCATAACTCTCTACATCCCGAATTTCTTGTGATTCCAGTTCCTGTGGAACCACTGACCCCAGACTCTTATTCCCAGCAAACAAAGCTTTCTTTAAATGAGGATTTCTTGACCGTGTAGCCTGCTCACAGTGCACTGGTAACATAGCTGTCAGTGAGCTTATCCCATTAACTCTTCACCCAAGTCACAACCTCCTGCAAAATAGGCTTTACAGTTTAAACATTGATTTTTCTCTATTTTCAATTTAGTCACTGGTCCTAAAATTATGAGCCATATCCATTCATTATACAGTGCAGACTAGTGGTGTCTGTACTCTGACTGACCATTTGGCAACAAGTCTCTCATTCTAGCTGATGATCATAACTGGGGTTTATTTCCGCCTTATTTCGCAGTGAAGCAGCTAGACACTCGCCTGTAGATCAGAAGGTTGTGGGTTCAGGTTCTCACGGAGACTGATTTGTTTCTTCAAAAAATGACCTTGGCTCCCAGGTTGACCCAGCCTTGAGTTAGATACCAGGTGCAAGTCCTGGGAAGTAAAGGTGGTCTATTTGATGCTGACCACATCTCCCATCAAGGACCGTTTGGTCTACAAAATCAGGCCTAGCCATGAAAGCGTGGAAAAGGGTCGTTTACTTTTTTCTTGCTTACTTATTTCTGGGATAAAGTTTAATTTCGGGGAAATACTGTAATCTTTGCTTGCTCCAAGGACCCATGTAAAACATGGGCACGTAGGTAAAACCCCAAGGATTGTACAGATCAGAGGTCTAATCAGACTAGATGTGAGAATATTGTAATACGATTAAATATAACCAGTTGAGTTGAGTCAAGAATTGACATCACAGCACTCAGGACATTCCCACGCGTGCTCCGTCCTCATCTTTAGCAGCCAGCGCAGAGTTCCAATACTGATAGTACCAGTCACAATCTGATTATATCAGGTGCCTCATTCTTTACAGGCGATAATAATCTCGCTTCTCTACTGATTCCCAAAGGGCCTTGACCACATCTGCCTTGTAAATATAACCAACCTTCTTTAGCAGTGCTGCAGCTTTGAGAAGATACTGCCAGTCAATCCAAGTGCCTTGGTTGTTCATGACTTTTTCTTGAATTCTGGCTGTAATTTTTGATGTGGTTGTCTCTTCCAACTGTAAACTTTTAGCATGGTTTTCCCACTGCAAGTTACAAAGAACACAAATGTGTGAGATGCCAAGTTGGAATTTTTTAAATAAAGAAAATTTGGTCAAAGACAAGATTTCATATTAAACACAACACAAAATGTTTCTTAACATAAAACATAACGTGTGATCCTCTCAAATAATGCTTACAGCATTCGCTACCAGTACTTTTACAAATAGGTGCAGTCCTGGGAAGTAAAGGCGGCCAGCATGATGATGACCACATCACCCACCAAGTGCCGATTGGTCTATAAAATATAGGTCTAGCCCTATATGCCCGAAGGTGTGGAAAAGGGTCCTTTACTGTTACCTTTATATGGGGCTGTGAAACATGGATCTTAGCACTGTAACTTGAAAAGAGTTACTGCTGCTTTACAAGGTGATGTGAAAACAGTGGAAATAATATCTTTTGGGAAAATGCTTGGATTATGACATAGAGAATAGATCATTAAAGACATAGTTTGCATATCATCACCCTACATATGGACAACTATGAACCTCCTTTAATGACAGTGCCAAGACAGAAAATGCAACAAGTATATAGTAAAAGATTCCGCCGGCTTCTCCAAAACAATACTACAAGTCTATCTATATAGAGGGAAAAGGAGAGGGAGTGAAGCTGACCTCCACTAAGACCCATACTGAGCAATTTTTTAGGTTGACAGTTCAGTCATACTGTATCAGAAATTCTTTGTGCAAAATGGCAAACAGCCAATGGATTTGTAGAAGTTTTTATTTCAGTTATGCACGGTTACATTCAAGATTACTGCAGAAAAAAAAATTGTTCTACTGGTGTCAAGAGAACTTTTTGGTAGCCATTTTCCCCATCAATGTACAGCCATGAAAATGTGTTCTCTATTCGAATTGGTGCAAAACATTTTTGGTTTACGTGGAAGAGTTTAGGAAGCTATGCAATGTTTTTAAGTCTATATTGTCAGAAGACAGATTTTTTGGATGCATTTTTTGCACCAATTTACATCGCACATAATTCATTTGTCCTCACTACCTCTCTCTCTCTCAATTTGTAGCGACCTCTCCTTGACCACTACAGCTCCAAGGACTACAGCGTCCCACACTCTGGACGCGCTGTACAGCTGAACAGGACAAATTCTCTCAAACACAATTACAAAGTTCCTGTTCTTGAAATTTATTCTCCATTCAGTCTGGTGCAAAAACACAAACTATTAGAAGTTTAGTTAAATAGTTGTCAAGCTATGACAATTTTAGTAGACACTAAAATAGAGGTATCTGGGAAAGTGTAAGGGTTAACGGGCATGATAGTCAGAGGGTTAATGCATATCAAACAACAAAATGACAGCACTAACAATCCCAAAACAAACAGTTCTCTGTGTGTTACGGAAGTAAAAAAACAAGAAGCACATATAGAATGAACAACACAGGTGCTACGGTAAATCCTTCCTTACTCTTTCATAATAGAAGAGGTATTTTTTTAAGGCTTCCCTCGCTTGTACATGAACGGATTCGTTGGCAATGTTTGGGTTCTCCTTGTACCTGCTACACTCGTAATATTCACTGCCATGTGACTTCCAATCTGAAAGAATACAAGTGTATAGCTCTGATCAAGGTATGCTAGACTTGTACAAAATGTGAAATAACATCACTATATAAATAAGAAAAAACTGGGGGTCTCCGTGGCAAAGCCGTCTGCCTCGTGCTCTGAAGTTGGTGGGTTCATTTCATGGCTGCACCGTTGAGTTCATGATCAAAATCTATCTGAAGATCCCTGGGGATCATCACCGGAGCTATGTAGTTTGAGCTTTGTGTAATGCTCTCAGCAGGCGGTCAGCTGTTCAAGGGAGAGAAACCTAGCCATATGGGATAAAAACCAGTGCAATAAGGAAAATTCTCTTGAATTTGACTCTTACCTTTTATAAAACTAATTAAAAATTCCTTACTGTCTGCTTCGGTGTTTGTTTCAACGAACAGCTACTCCCAGAAAATGTTGGATGTAAATAGGATTTTTGACCACTTGTGTCTACACGCAGGGGACAATCCTTCCAACCTGACCTCAAGAACCAAAGGATCTCACGTTCACAAGAAAATAACATTTAATGTGACTAATTTTAAATTCCTTACTGTCGGCTTCACTGTTTCAGTTCCAACAAACAGCTTCTCCTGGAAAATGCAGCAAGTGAATGGCATGTTTGACTACCTATGTCTACTTGCAAGGGACAATCCTTCCAACCCAGCCTTAAAAACCAAAGTATCTCACGTTCCCCAAAAAAATAACGTTTAATGTGTAAATTTTAGTTCTGATGACATTTAATTTGTGATGACATTTCATTTGTGACGACATTTAATTTGTGATGACATTTCATTTGAAACAACACATGTTAGAAGTTACAAACCTTACCTCCTAAACACATCCAGCAGAAGTCATACTTGCATTCCGGACATTGCTTAAGAAAAAAATAATTATTTTAGTAGTAGGTAACACAAATTTCCCAACACAAACAGAAAAATAAACAAACAATATGGATGACAGCTGCATCCCATACACACATAGCAATATTTATCACACCCCAAATACATCTCCTGTGAGTGTTTCATAGTGGCAAGTCACATGCATTTGTATTTTTAAAAAATTGCTGGTTCACTGTGTGGCTTCCCCCCTTCCTTTCCCCAAGCAGGTTTGTCATATGTTGACTAATTAAAGGTTTTTCTTTTGAAGCTGGAGTGCATCTGCATGAGAGGCAAAAACTAACAGTCTGACATAAAGAATGCAGATCTGTAAAACTGCTGTGCATGCAGAATTCAAGTTACGCTACCACATCAAAGTTTAGAAATAGAGGAACAAGCAGAATGTTCCACCACAGCTTACACCCAGTGGAGATTAGGCTAAAGTGGATGAGTGCACATACTGTATTCGTTTAAAATATTAGTAAGACCTGTCTCTTCCATGGTGTGATTCTCATACAATGACTAAAAGCCATGAGAATGGTCTTTTGTAAACTGCTCGCTGCAGATAACAAACTATGGTACATCAAGAATTATGAACGAAATTCTCTAACCCCCGAAGCCACATATTACATCCAGGATTCCCATATGTGTTTCGGGGTGAGGGAGATTCGAACCCCTACCCAAGTAAATTACAGATCTATGAAAGAGATGTGCAGGAAACATTCAGGTTCTGGAACAAGACTAAAGTCCACAGGTGGACGAACAACCAGAACCTTCTGTTGGAGTTTACAGCCAGTGAGCTTGAAGAAAAAGAAAATATTCGTCATAACAGCTCAAAATGATCCAGATTACATATAAACTACAGTCAACAGACAAAAATCTACCTCAGTGATACTAAAGGTTGGCAAATATGATGACAGGACATTGGCACTCACAAATGGTGTCAAGCAAACTTTGTTAAACTAAATACCTCTAGCACACAAAATTCCATATCATAACACAGGTGTAACAAATAAGTAATTACCATATGATTACATCCTCCATTTTTCTCAATACAAACGTGGCACTTGGGACACTGGAATAAAGAAAATAGAAACAGTTCATTATCAACATCAAACAGACCAAACTGTTCAAGTTGTATGGTAATGTCACAGTAACTTGAAAAAAAAAAATTTGAAAAAAAAGGGAGTGGAGGGGGGGGGGGGGGGCCTTTTTTTTATGCCACAGGCCTTTTCACATGGGGCATATGATGCTGGACTTATAAGTTTTAGAGACTAACTGCCCCTCGATGGGTGCTGTGACCAACATCACGTTTCTCCTATAGTGATTTCAGGAGAAGACAACTCTGATCACTTTCTGAGACAATCACTGTCTAGGTAAGGTTGATAACTGGGAAAATAATTTATATTATGGTGGGGGGATGGGGGGTGTTTCATTAGAATGTAGAAATACAGATGTTTGTGGATGAAAGACTGACAGTCTTGCCGCCACAGCTCATTCTGATGACATTGTATTTCTAAGTAAATAATAATCTGAAGGAAATACATTAATAACTGTGGAGATGTGTGGTTTAAATCCTCCAGAGATATATGACTGGTCTTGTAGAGGTCCCGGGTTCAAACCTTAGTGAAGGCTGCAATTTTTTTCTGTTTACGTTAACTTCTAGTAATTTCCACTGGTCTCTGGTAGTGAGATCAGACGCTCGTGTGTATTGTTGCACACGTAAAAAAAAATGCCTTGGCAGTTGGAAATCGAAACAAGTAGCCTAATGGCGCCGCCCAGGCAAAATTTGGAGTTAAAAATCTACCCAAAATATTTGGAGGATCCTCGCCGGTGCTACGGAGCCTGTACACTGTGCTGAGCTACTTCGGACTCAGACCTGAGTTGGAAGTAGAACAGAGCACATGTGGATTACTGCATGTGTGCCATGATGTTGATCCGTTGTTCAAACCTTAAACTTTGTTTTAGCAAATCGAGATTCAACTGCTTTTTTGGGGGGTTTTGCTTTTGTGATTTAAACACACACACAATGGTACACAATACAGATTCATGATCGCCAGCCTGTCTGAAGTAGATAGGGAAATCATGTAGAACGTGTCTGGTAGTCTGTCTCTCCACAGTCACAGGTGGTAGACTTGTTACAGCCTGTCTGAAGTAGATAGGGAAATCATGTAGAACCTGTCTGGTAGTCTGTCTCTCCACAGTCACAGGTGGTAGACTTGTTACAGCCTGTTATGTGTATGTGTGAGACCTTACTGTCCTGTAAAAAGCCTAAACAAATTATTTATTCTTCCTTCCTGAGAAGTTTATGCTGTCCCTCTCCAGGATGTAGTGTCCACTCCATCTTCTCCACGATCCCCTGAGGCCATGCTTCAAGTCTTTCTAATCCAAAGAACGCAAGATGTGGATTAGTCTTTCCCTTTTGATCAGTAAATTTCCTTTTTTTTTAAACCCGTTGTCATAGCATGAAAGCATATTAAGAAAATCTTGCTTCTACAGTTTGAAAGTAATGCACTCATGATGGTGGCTATTACCTTCTTGAGCTATTCTCCTTGGATTAAAAGAGTTTCAACACCCCCCCCCCCCCTTTTCCCCCCACATACAAACACAAAATAATGTCAAAAGCAGCTTACATCCTTGGTGTGGGCACTGATATAATTTGCAGTTTCTGAGTCATCCTCGCATTTGGTCAACCATCGCTTGATGACATCACACTCTGTGGGGGCATGATAAGACAGTCCACACTTGAAGCTGTGGGGGAAAAAGTCAAATTTTCATAGATGTTTAGACATGAGGATCAACTGCTTGAATATTACTAATAATGCAAAGAATTTCTTAGCAGATGAAGACAAAAGATGATACAATTCAGTATAAATGACATCAGCAGTTGGACAAGTGGTTAGAATAAAAAACTCTCAATTAAGAGACTCAGGTTCGAATCCTTGGTTTCCTGTGTGGGTTCTAGGGCTCCATCATAGAGAAATAAAGAATAGATTCAAGTGCCCCTAATTATGCAGAAGTGTTTTTCTTCGAAGTCGGAGTACATCTGCCCGAGAGGCAGGAAACAAAAACTGCACACAGATAAAACAGTAAAATGTATGTACACGCAAAACTCAGGTCCTGGTACAAAGCCAAAGTCTAAACAGAAAAATCAACCAGGACTTTCGGCCAGAATTCACAACCGGTGAAAAGAAGAAGAAACAGGAAGGGGTGTTTTCATTTTATTGGAGTGAATGTGCCTGTAAGGCAAGGAACCAACAGTCTGCATACAAATAAGCTAGATCTGTCAAATAAATGTACATGTCAAACTAAAGTTCTGGAGCATGACTATTTTAAAGTCCAGAATGACCTTGACTCTCAGGTCAAACCAGCCTTGAGTGGGGCACCAGGTGCAGTCCTCGGAAGCAAAGGGGGCCCTATATTCCCAATCCAAAAACCATGAGGTGTAACCCTTTATGCTCGGCACTATGGATTTTGTAACCCTTCGGCCTTGATACCATGATACCGTAAATTTTGGGAAATATGTGGCTTTTATGCCTACCCCCCAAGTGTAAACTTGAACCACAAGGAGTTTGTCACCTGGTTTAAGCAACTTAACTAGCTCGAAGGGCAAGGGACTTAGCAAATAAATATAGCTTTATTTACTGCCAAGCAAATGTAGCTGTATCTGAGTGACGGACGTTTCATTTGATCTTCACTAGCACAGGAACGGAGTAAGTATGGGGAAACCCGACTGCATTGAAGTTAAAACCCCGACTAAGACTAAGCTGTATCTCATCAAGATGATACAAATATGCCAGGCAATAAGATCAAAATACATAAAACATTGATAAGACCTGCCATTTTTATATGGCTCTGAAACTTGCAGCACAACTTAAAGAGATGAAGCCTTCCTTATTACAGGTTTTCGAAAACAGTCTTGTGGAATAGAGAGTGAGAAGACAGAGATTTTCATAATCTGCTTAAATCCCCACTGATAAGTGGCATCATGAGAGTTAACAGACTGAAATGGATTCCCCCGTGTGGGTTCCGGGGCTCCATTGTGGGGAAAACAAGAATAGACCCACTGCCTCCCCAAAAGCATGTCGTAAGAGTAGACTAATTGGGGAGCTTCCTTTGAAGTCAGAGTGCATCTGCCAGAGAGGCAAGGAACCAACAGTCTGTATTCAAGAGAATGAGATCTGTAAAACTGATGCACACGCAACACTCAGGTTCTGGAGCAGGACTGCAGTTCAGTAGTGGACGATCAACCAGAACTTTCCGCCAGAGTGTACAGCTGGTGAACGCGAAGAAGAAGAAGAAGACTGAAATGGAATATAAGATGACAAAGAAGTAAAAACTGTAAACATGAGGGAAATGAATGGTAGTAGACCACAAGGCAGACCAAGAAGATGATGGACAGATAATGTCCAGACAGACCTGCTAAAACTTGGTGTCACCAACAAAGAGAAGGCAACCAGAGGGATGAATGGAGGCGGGTGATATCTGCAGCAATAAACCTTAAGGACTCCAAACGCTGAAGAAAAAGAAGTTTGTGTTGCCATTATGTAAAACTACGAGGATACTGTGACAGAAATTACAATAACCATGTTAATGTCTTGTCATCTTGCATACAACAGCTTAAAGATGGCCACCCCACTTTCAACATGCACCAATGAGAAGTAGCATGCATCCCGTTACTGTTTTTTTTCTCTTCTAAATAAATGAAGTGCGTGAAAGCTCTAGAAATTCATTGGTGAATGAAGGCCCGGTATGGTGATGTATGCTTTCTTCTAGCGTCTTTCCCACATTAAAGATTTTCATTTAAAGCCCCTCTAAGTTAGACGAAAAAATGTCTTGAGGCATAGTGAATATACAGTTTTATATTTTCTGTATACCAAATGGAACTGAAAGGGCATCCTCATCGTTCATTCGTTCGATTTGAATTAGCCACGTTCAACCTCGCACTATCGAGCTAGCCTCGTCATGGCCAATACAGGTTATAATTATGGAAACAAACCATGGTCCATAGTGTTTGTTACTAGTATTTTATGTCTTCTGTGTCTATGTGGCCAGCCAGGTCGTGTCCATCTCATTGTATAGGCTTTGATCTGATTGGGTCATGTGTTCCTATTGTGCCATCCATTGGTGGTGTTACTGCCATTGCTGGGGCTGTCTCCTGAGCTATACATTGTGATATTGCTGTACCAGTTCTTTGTGTGGTTTTAGTAGTCATTTTCACTGTTGTTCCACTATTAGGTCCTCAGTCGCTGTCGCGATCTTATCTAGGCATCGTCAACGCTCTGCTATGTCGTCTTTGTCCATATCGCCACACGAGGTGTTCCTGGCCGTTGAATCTGTTTATTGTTTGGAATATTTTCTTTTGGACCAGGTGTATTCTTACGCCGGATAATCGCTGCTTGATATAATCTCTAAGCTGCTAGTTGTCGTTGCTCCTCGTGCCATTCATCTAAAGTCTGTTTGAATCGTTTCACTGGATCTTTCACGGGTTTCTCTGTTTCAACTGCTCTGCCTGTTTCGCCTCGTCTTGGCTTTTGAGTTTCTTTAGTTTTTCTGTCTGGTTTGGGAGGTCCCATATTCACACTGAATATTCTTCACTGGCCTTTTAGGTTCTTTATGTCATTAATTATAGCTACTATTTCTGATTCAAATTCTTCTATCAAAGCTAACTCTTCTACCACTGACTTTTAAATTTCCAGTGTGGTCTTTGATATTTCTCTTATCTCCTCCATCTCCTTGCGTATCTGAGCATGCTATATGTTCCCTGCTTCTTTGTCTTCTCAGAGGGTTTTTCATCTTTAATAAGAAAAAAACAAATCCCCAATAGAGACCGAAACATGTGACCAATGCACTACAACCCTGGCTCTATACACCATCTCCTCACCATGCTAAAGTTTCAACACAGAAAAGCACCATACACCAGACATTTAAACTTAGACAACAAATGCCAAATTACCAAAATGTGATCTTGCATGAATGACATTCGACTTTCTTAGCTTTCAGTTCTTTAGCTTTGATGATAACTGAGCAGTCTGCCCCAGGACAGAAGCGGAGCTTTGGATGAGACTGCAGAGAGTAAAATTCAGTTACAAATATGCAAAATCAGGTGAATAATGCCAGAAAAATGTAAATAAGCCATTTCATAACATCCCTGCAACATAAGAGAGGTCCAGCGACCTAAGCAGGCATATATGGCAAGGGACGTTACTCTAATCCTGGGCCTAGAAACACGAACAGCACCCAACTGTTCTGAATTAAAGAACTGGCCAAACATGTGGATTTCTTAGAGGCCATGCCATGTGACGTTGGTAGTCATGTCTATCCATATCTGTCTCATATACTTTCAATCAACTCTTGACACAGATGAACATCCATGCCATAATGTCAAAATGCCCAGCATCTGTTCTCTTGGGCTCCCTCTGCCTCTCCTCCCCTTCAACTTTCCTACTGTCACAATGTACCAAAGAATGCAGATTGTCTCTTTTTGATGTGGGCAATCAGTTCTCTGCCTGAGTCAGTTCCTTTCAAGACGTCTTCATTACTCTTTTTATCTGTCCAGGGTATTCTTTTCATTTGTGTATAAAACCACATTTCTTCAGCTAAGTGATTTTTGTGTGTTCTTGTTCACATTTGTGGTACTGTATAATCACGTAATGTGCTTGTGCTGATAAAAGCTCTCTAGCCACAAAGTTCACTTGTCATTTGTGTCTGTAGCAATGTGAAGCTGACTGGTTTTTCTTTTCAGTTTGGTTTGGTATCTGAATCAAAGAAGTTCCACACTCAATGAATAAACAAACTAACTGAAATGAGGAAAAATCTACGTATCTGCATAAATGTAAGAAAGTAAGGAAATAAGTGATGTATCGATTCATGATGGCCACTGTGACAGGTTAGTGCATCCGCCTGCCTAAAACAGTAGCCCAGGTTTACTATTTGGAAGTGACAGGAACAATTCTTTTGTAAATAGTACTGCTTCCTGCAAATCACCTTATTGATGGATGTTTTGAGCCCAGCAAGGATCAATTTTTAGTTTACCTTCATCGAAATAAATTTATCATTACTTTTACTTTACCTTCATCGAAATAAATATATCATTACTTTTACTTTACCTGTTATCATTATTATTTTTTAAAATTATTATCTTATTTTGTAATATAGTTACTATTATTTCTATTACTAGCATGATCAATACTCCTATTACTTGATTTAATTATGAGTTAGCTGCGTAGGACGTTGCAGAACCAATCCCAGCATATTTTGGCTGGTGTGGTATTTCTAAGCAGATTTTACGTTCAGTAGTTTGCCACTGCTTACTGAACGGTCAGCTCTCTGTACCACTGTCGAAACCAATGCTGTTGGATTCGAAACCGGCTACCCGGCAGGCGTTAAGGAGTGGATTTGCAATGCCTAAGCCACAGACATTTCATTATTAATATTCTTATTATTACAATTTAAAAAAACAATGGGGTATGAAATCAGCTGCAGGTAATATGGTATAAGACTGCATTGCAATTAATTCTGACAACTGTGTGAGGGCTGAATAGTGGAAAGCAATGGCAAACACAGAAGTCTAACTATTCAAATCTCCAAGAACTGCCTACCTTTATTAGATCGTTGAAGGAAAACTTGGAGTACTTGTCACGCAATTTGGAATCGCTAAGAACTTTATATACAAAATCTTCTGTCACTAATACAGGACACTCTTTAGCCATGCACTCTATACCTGAAATGATAAAATTGCCAATGAGACTTTCACTAAAAGAACAGGAAAATACATTTAAATAATTAGTTTCTAGTCGTTTTTCTTCGATTCTATAAAAAAATTGTTTTTTTTTTTCACAGTAGTTCATCAACATTTACTAGCATATGTTTATAATTGAGAGAATTTGTAAATAAATAACTGTTTATTTTAGCCTTCCATAATCTACCCCTTCCCTCACCATCAGTGTATTCCCTACCTGCACGCACATTCTATCCCACACTCACCATTTCCTACCTGCATGTACTTTTCTACACCCACCCTCACTATCAGTGTATTCCATACCTGCACGCACTTTTCCACCCCACCCTCACCATTTCCTACCTGCATGTACTTTTCTACCTCACCTTCACCATTTCCTACCTGCAGGTACTTTTCTACCCTAGCCTCTCCATCAGTGGACTTCCTACCTGCATGTACTTTTCTACACCCACCCTCACCATTTCCTACCTGCAGGTGCTTTTCTACAGCCACCCTCACCCTCAGTGTATTTCCTACCTGCACATACTTTTCTACCCACACTCACCATCAGTGTATTTCCTACCTGTTAGTACTTTTCAACCCCCACCATCAGAGTATTTCCTACCTGCATGTACTTCTCATTATGTGGCTAAAGAACAGTGTTTCTCTTTATTATTGTTGTACATATTCTTCCAAATTCTTCTTAATTTGTTCAGTGACATTCCAAGATTCACTGCCATACAGCAGAACAGGTTCTTTTTAACATTTTAGCACCCTTTTTATAACATTAAATGAGAGCGATTTATTGCATAAGATATTTTTCATTTTTTTGAAATGCAGCTTTCGCTTGTCCTATTCTGCTTTTAATCTCGGTCACACATTTTCCATCTGATGATATGACTGTTAGAAAGATATTTAAATTTATTGACTTTGTTAAGTCTTTTTCCTTCAACTGAGACATGTTAGTTGGAAAACAACTCGGCTATAAGTTAAAGAGATGCTGTACTTGTAAGACAATGATAAAACTCAATATGCACACACACATATAACACTGACCTGTAGTGACACCATCCCTGATCTGTGTCTGGAAGTGCATATCCCAGCAGTCTCTGCAGAACATATGACCACAAGCTACACCCACAAATCTGTCTCGAGCATATTCGCTACAACAAACGGAACACACTGGTCGCTGTCCTACCAAGTTGTCCTACGGAGCATTGAAAAATGATCACGAACAGCAAAATTCCAAACTGCATTGACAGAACTAACACCCAAATTAACACTGTATATGTTAGCTTCAATTCACAGCTTACCTCTTTTAGAGTAGTAAAATTCACTGTTATTACTCTATGAATTACACTGGGAACCGCTGTGGTGTAGCTGCTAGATGCTCCCCTACGGATCCGAAGTTCATGGGTTCAGATCCTGACCTTTTTTCCAAACTGACCTTGGTTGCCAGGTCGATCCAGCCTTAAATGGGTAGATAAAAGTGCTGGAAAGTAAAGGCAGCTGCTGTAATGCTGACCACATCACTTACCGGGTACTGACTGGTCTATAAAACATGGGTCAAGCCCTATACGCACAGTACAAGTGTGGAAAAGGGTCCTATACGCATTATTTGTGTTACTATTTTAATGAATCATTCTTTTTGTGTTGTGGATTGTAAGCGGCTGCGATGCAATAAAACTGTATTTAACACAACCAACATCTGAGCAAGAACAAACTATATTGTCAAAGAGTTAAGAATTGGGCGCACAGTCTTACATTCTGCTTGTTTGGCTTCACTCCTTCCATAATTATTTCTTCATTCATTAGTTAGCATAACAATTATACATATCATTAAATCTAATTCTTAGTCACAATTGCCAAGATATGCTTTCATAATATCTATATTTCCAAACAGTAATAATAGGGGAAAAGGGAGGGGTGATCATGGGGGGGGGGGGGGGGGCACACAAATATAGGAATTTAATTTCTGTGTTTCAAGGACAGACAAAGTGAGTGGATTAAACAAATAAAAAAAAAAAAAGTTTATTCAAACCAAACTCACATGTTTCCTTCGGCTGGCTAAATGAGTGTCTACCAAAAATCCAGACGGATCACGCTGGTAACTGAATCAAAAATAAAAGCTAATTTAATGTTGAGGCATGCAGGAAAATCATCAGTTTTCTTGATAAGAATAAAATAATTTCAATTTTTATAAATCTCTGCGTGGGTTCTGGGGCCCTATTGTGGGAAAACAAGAATGGATCCACTGCCTCCCCAACAAGCATGTCGTAGGAGTCGACTTATTGAGGGCTTCTTTCAAAGCTGGAGTGCATTTATCTGAGAGGCAAGGAAACAGCAATCTGTATACAAATAAGTCAGATCTGTAAAACGCATGTGCACACAACTCTCAGGTTCTGGAACAAAAAGTCCATGATAGACAACCAACCAGAACTTTCCGCCAAATTTTACAGCTGGTGAACATGAAGAAGAAGAATAAAAAACAATTCTGAATGAAGAAGCAATACAAACAAAACACTATGAATTAAATTTGCAGAAAAACCCCGAACAGAGAGGTGATATAAACAGAACACTACATTATACAATGTAGCTTAAAAAAGTGCCAGTGTGTTGAGCAGAAATAAGTAATAATGCAAGTATTTACCATGCATTTCCTATGAAACAGTTCCCTTTGGCAACAACCACTTTTACCAACATTCATCAGTTGTTGCCAACACTCCTGGGCTCCTGGCCTTCAGACCCACATACTATCACACCTGGTTTACCACAAGAGTCGGCCATGAAACAGTTCCCTTTGGCAACAAAAACTGTTACCAACATTCTCTCAGTTGTTGGAAACATTCCGGGCACCTGGCCTTCAGACCCATATACTTTCACACCTGGTTTACCACAAGAGTCGGCCATGAAACAATTCCCTTTGGCAACAACTTCTTTTACCAACATTCATCAGTTGTTGCCAACACTCCTGGGCTCCTGGCCTTCAGACCCATATACTATCATACCTGGTTTACCACAAGAGTCAGCCATTTCACCTGTATTCTATAATTTTCTACACAAGTAGGACTGCAGCTACCGAGGCACCAGGAATTGGAAGGGTGCTCACATTTGCAGACGATGTACTGGCATACAGACAGGGTAGGGATAGGAAGAGGGTACTGGAAGAGCTCTAAATGGTGGTGGATAAGATTTATAAGTCACAGGATCGTTGATAAACTCAAACAAAGCCTTAACAGTATGGTGTTCATTGGACAATAGAACTGTCAAAGCAAAGGCCCATAAGATCACACTAAATGGAAAAGTGGAAAGAATAGAAAACACACTCAAATATTACATTTGACAGAGGACTGTATTTCAAAGACCACTTTGCTGCAGTTATTGTTAGAGCAAACAAAGGACTTAATGCACTAAAGGTTATGGCTGCTGTGGATATAGAACAAGGAACCTTATACACAATTAGTCAGAACCTAGTCTGAATATGGTCGGGGGATGCTAACCGCAACAAATAATCAGCTGGAGAAAGTGAAAGGCACATAAAATAAGGCGATGCAAACCATTCTGGGATGCATAAGGGACACATCTGTTGTGTGTTTCAGACATATCTTGGCTATGCTGACTGTTACTGAGAGACAGCATTTTTAGCATTAAATACTGTGTACTATCTTAGAATAGTGAGAAAAAAGAATAGAAAATGACAAGCTGCTGTTGGCACTTCTAAGACTTTCCAGAGGTTAGTGTCATACTGTGCTATGTGGAGGTGCTGGAATCACAGCCTATGCACAAAGCCTGGGCAGTATTCTAGAGATCATGGGTTGCGCATGCACCATGATCCCTCACTAGGCCTGCTTTGTTTACCCCAAAGAAAAGGTAACACTGCAGAAGCTGCCAGATCAGAAAAGCAGCGCTCGGTCTTCCTACCTGTCAGAGCTTCTTTCCTAGACCAGTTGCCAGCCATGGGTTGTTGGAAAAACTTCAAGGACAAAAATACTTCAATGGTTAATGATTTATAAACATAAGAAGAGTTAAAACAAACAGCTCATACTTGTCAATAATTTCTTCCTTTTTCCAGTTGTGACGTAATAACAACATCTTTGCTGTTGATGGATTTACCTGATGAAAAACAGACAGACATTTATATTCCCTTTAATTTTAAAACAAGTCTCCTTTCTTGCTGGAATGTAAAAGGAACATATACAGCTTTAACTTAATCATACTTGTCGTGCATATTTAAAACGACCCCTATTTTTTTTCTGGAGTCATCAGAAAGCAGACATATCCTGATGTACCACTGTGTGTTTGTCTGTATATCTATATATATGACTCACACATAATGCACATAGGTAACACATACATTTTAAAGTGATACTGCACAGCACCATGGTTACTAATGTCTTGCCTACTACTGCCCTAGGTTTCAGATCTGAAACAGTCTGAGCAACATAACCTTTTGCTCAAAGTAATCAACAGAATCACAGGAGCATGAATAAATACAGCCCTTGCTAAATATATAACCAAAAAAAAAAAAAAAATGACAGGGAAATGAATCTAAAATTAACAGATACACATTTAGATGAAACAACTTCCCTGCCTTACATATTTAATAAAAATGAGACTCCCGCAGTCTTTATTCACTGTAACAAGGGACAGATCATTGTTAATCTTCTCTAATTTAACACAGAAACTCACAAGATGAGGGTATCAATAATTTAAAATACCTGTGTGGGCTCCATTTTTTAGAACAACCAACAGACCAATGGTCCACTGACAAACATATGGTAAGAGGTGACTAATTAGGGGTATTTCCTTCAAAGTCGGAGTACATCTTCCTTAGATGTGAGGAAACAACAGTCTGCATACAAACAAGCCAGATTTACCAAATTGATGTACATGTACAACCCAAGTTCTGGATCAAGACCGAAGCCCAGGAGTGGATGAACAACCACAACTTTTCCCTGGACTTTACAGCTGGTGAACGCATTGGAGAAAAATCCTCAAAAAAGTTTTTTTTTAAACACGGTTGTGCTTTGTTCAGCCTCAAAATAGAATCGGCCAGCAGCATTATCAGTACCTTAAAAAAAATTTTTTTCACCTAATCCAACACATAATTCAAGACAAAACACACATAAACAGTAACACTGAGTATACCTTCAACTTCATGCATAGTGCTTCAATCTCTTCATTCATCATTCTCTCTGCATCAATCAATTGCAAGGGCTCATATTCAAAATACTCTGGGTCATCAGTTTTGCTAGGACAGTCCAAATCTAAGTCATCTGTTGTGTCAATGTAATAGAACTTTTCTGTATCTTCATCTAAGTCCTCAGATGAGTCACAGTCACTTCCCATAGACGAGGCCTCGGACTGATGACTCATCTGCCGATTCATGTCAGCAGACATGGCTTCAAGTGATCCTTTATCGCCTGCAATTAAAATTGGAAATAAAAGTAAATAACATCAATCTTACGAATGTAATTCACACAAAAGGATTTTCATAAGCAGAAGCAAGAGCTTAATAATAAACAATAAAAATGCACTAACTAGTGTCTGTGCAGAATAAAGGAAGTTAAATGGTATGATATGATTACTAGTGTGGATCTTTGGGGAAAATAAACAAACTACGCGAATCAAGAGGTTAAGAAATGACGCTGGCACTGGACAAGACACATGATGATCTGAGAAAATGTGAGAACAAAACAAATAGAATGTCTTTATACTGGAACCCACATAGGCACAGAATTAAAGCAGACCCAAAACCGCATGAATAACGGATCTATAGAGTACATTTCAAAAGATGGGGAGAACACAGGGGTGAGCTGTGTGCAATGACAAAGGATAGGATGACTTAGAGAGTTGGTTAAAGGCATATGCTCCACTAGAGGATAAAGGGCCTTGGGGAGTTGGTTAAAGGCATATGCTCCACTAGAGGATAAAGGGAGAGTTGGATGAAAGCATATGCTCGACTTGAGGATAAAGGGAGGGTTGGCTGAAAGCATATGCTCAACTGGAGGATAAAGGGTCTTGGAGAGTTGGTTAAAGACATATGCTCCACTAGAGGATAAATGGGGAGTTGGGTGAAAGTATATGCTCCACTAGAGGATAAAGGGAGAGTTGGCTGAAAGCATATGCTCAACTGGAGGATAAAGGGTCTTGGAGAGTTGGTTAAAGACATATGCTCCACTAGAGGATAAATGGAGAGTTGGGTGAAAGTATGTGCTCCACTAGAGGATAAAGGGAGAGTTGGATGAAAGCATATGCTCGACTTGAGGATAAAGGGTCTTGGAGAGTTGGTTAAAAACATATGCTCCACTAGAGGATAAACTGAGAGTTGGCTGAAAGTATGTGCTCCACTAGAGGATAAACGGACATAAGAAGCAACAACAGAGATTACATGCATGGTAGATTACTGTTACTATTCTTTGCATTAAACTCCATTATGAATAGCAGCATCTGCTACATTGTAAACTTTACTGCGGACAAAATCCGTTTAACACTATATTTAAAAAATATTTAAAATAAAAACAAAAAAGAAACACATTATCACCAATTTTCACTTTTGCCACTGAGCGTCGCAGGAAAGGAAAAGTTTGCAATTCACAGCTTGATGCTTAATGTCTAAAATCAACAGGCCATCTTTGCCTTGTGTGAACTTTTGCTTTCTTACAAGATCCTTTTTAGAGGCAGTGCCTGTGCTGCTGGTAGTTGTGGCTGTATTCTAACTAGCTGACCAAAACATCTGATATTCTGCTGCTAAAAAAAAAAAAAAAAAAGGAAAAAAGTTGGCGTAACATGCTGTTGCCACAGTTTTGATGTTTTTTCCTCTTCTAGAAATAAAAGATCTGGCGTTCTAAGTGTAGGACACAAGTTGACATTTTTTTTAACACTCTGTGAATCCATTATTATAACATGGCGGGCTTGCAACAAACAAGATAAAGGCAGTAAGAAAATTAAATGAATACCTCACCTTGTATGATGTGCCAAAAACATGCAAGGTGAGGGGGAAAAAACAAACAAATAAGAATAAGCTAAAGTCATGTGCAATGAGAAAAATTACAGAGGACCTAACTTTGTGTGCTGTGACTGAAACACCCCAACAACAGTGTGTATGTACATACATATATATATACACACACACACACATAAAGTAAAGGTCCCTTTTCCATGCCTTTAGGCTTATTAGGAGTATAGGGCAAGACCTCTATTTTTACAGACCGATCGGCACTTCGTATGTCATGTAGTCAGCATCATGCTGGCTGCCTTTACTTTCCAGGACTGCACCTAATACCCACTCAAGGCTGGGTCGACCTGGAAGTCAAAATCATTATTTTTTTTTTTAAAGTCAGACTCCGTCAGGATATGAACCCAATACCCTCCAATCCGCAGGTGGGTGTCTAGCTGCAAACGTCACAGCCACTCCCATATATATATATATATATATATATATATATATATATATATATATATATATATATATATATATATATTTATATATATATATATATATAATATATTTATATATATATATATTTATATATATATATATATATATATATATATATATATATATTTATTATATATATATATATATATATATATATATATATATCAATCAGGTGCCGTTTCCACAATGAAGGTTGGCTGCAATGGATCTCTAACAAGCCCTGTCTCTTGCCCTTGATGTACACTCACTTGATGTTATCCTCCCACTTATAACGCTGCCTGCCTTTTGCTCGCCTACCTTGAACCTTTCCCTAATGGATGATCTTTACAATACTGTTATGTCTTTTAATGTAGCCAAAATATTTCACTTGTCTCTTTTTTATTTCACCTAGCATTTCTCTTTTCATTTCCAATTTCCTCAGTACCTCTGTATTTGATAGCTTTTGTTTCCATGAAATACGACCTAATCTTCTGTATATCCACATGTCCAAAGAATTGATACGATTTTCCAGTTGTTCATTGTCCATGTGCCATACAGTAAGGTTGAAAATGCATAACATTTGACAATTCTCATTTTTAATGTATTGCTTTTCTCTTGATGTCAGTAACTTTTGCATGTTGTTGAAAATTTTTGTGGCCATCCCTTTTCTTTTCTTGACTTCTGTTTCACTTCTGCCGTCACATGTTATTACTTGTCCAAAATATAAGAAATTTTTAACTTGTTCCAATTTCACCCCGTTCACTGTAATATTCATTGTTAGCTGATTATTTTCTTTGCTAAATATCATGGTTTTTGTCTTTTTCAAATTTACATCTAATCCGAATTCTGCAATCCTTCTGTTTACTTGCTCCACTAGGTCTTGCAACTCCTGCTCACTCTCTGCTACGAACACTGTGTCGTCAGCATATCTCAGATTGTTTATTATTCTACCATTGATGTGCAGTCCTGGTAATTCTATAATTTATTTAAAAATGGTTTCTGTACATAAGTTGAAAAGGCTGGGCGACAGCACTATATATATATATATATATATAGGCTATCTACCGAGATATAATACTATGGATTGGAAATATGTTCACTGGCAAAAGCTCATGGAAACAGAACACAGAGAGTGACCAACTATGTCAAAAAAAAAAAAAACCGAAGAATGGTAAATGACAAGGTCATCTTAAAGATACAAGATATGAAAAAGAAAGTGACAGTATGTAAGCAATTATATGTCACTGAAAAACAGTTGGTGTAAGTGTAGCAGAATCCATAGCAACTGCCATACTACAAAGAAAACCATTTATATTTATGATCTATGATATTAGTACTGTATTAGTATTGTCGGCTATATTCCGAATAACGGGCACAAAAGATGGCAGCCAAAAACAGGGCCTCAGTCATGTGTCAATTGCGCACTTCCGGCGACCTAATTTGTGGTTTTCTGGTGACTACCGCTAAGAGTATCCCCCACGCAGCTCGTGCGCCGTGGATTGGGGCTAAACTAGATGGCTAGGACTCACGAGCATAGCTGCAGGAGATGCAGAAACTGCTGCTCGTGAGTCTCAGCCACCTAGTTTAGCCCCAATCCACGCTGCGTGAGCGGTGTGGGAGATACTCTCGGAGGTGGCGGTAGTCCCCGGAAAACTGCAAATTAAGTCGCCGGAAGTGCGCAACTGACATATGACTGAGGCTCTGTTAGGGTGTTTTTGTGGCCGCTATCTTTTGTGCCCGTTATTCGAAGGATAGCTGTATTGTCAACTTCGAATTTACTGTTACTCTACAGAACTGAAAAGTAACAATAACAATAATAAAATATAAAAGGGGCCAGCTACAGGATTATCCTATATTTATTATTTCTAAAGACCATATAAATAAAATAGTAGGTCAGTGTTTAGAGTTGTTGTGTTCAGTTCTAATGATTTCTCCCTCTTTAGTTAAGAAAGAACTATCAGGTACTTTGAAAGTGTAACACTAAAAATACTAACATGACGAGTGACCTAATTTTACTGTGGCACCCCGGCCCCTTTTGTTCTCAGTTCTTCATTCTCTATTTAATTTCACTTATTCTCTGTTGAATTCTTTCAAGATATGAAAAAAGACACTTGTAATATGACTCAGAAACATAACAAATAACCCTAAAATGAATATTTCTTAGTAAAACCCTTACCCAACTTATCAAGGATCAGCTGTTAATGATACGATTTTAGTTGAAAAATGAAAGTTCCCTTCTACAACAATCACTATCTATCCTATCCAACAAAAATCGCCACACCGTCTGTTAGACTTGGCTAAGTTAATTCTCAACACAGACTACTAACTGTTTCATTATAAACAGCGAATGTTAATATAAGGCTGTTTTTGTTATAATCAAGTTTCGAGTGACAGACGCTGAAATTTAGGAATTGTAATGGGACAATTTGAACTGGCCTATTTCTCTTACACCGTTGAAGGTGTTCGCCATTACCGGAAATGACGCATGGATTTATTAAAAGATAAAATGGAATTGCGACGGCAACGACAAACGACCAAATACTCTTTTTTTTTCTAATTGTTCCATTGTCGAAATCAGACCTCAGAAAAAAAAGAAAAGGAAAAAAAATCTAGACCGGCTACATCAAACATTAATTGATTCTCTCATTATTTGCATCACAAATAATTCGCCTAACTTTTATCTTTGTACGGTATACAGGTATTCAAGGGAATAAGCGTGCTGATTACCTGGCAGACACGGCGGTTACCATGACTGGTCCGGCACTGGGCAGGAATGATGCCATTAATGCCATGCGAGCTGTACATAGCAGAGAAATTCACAACAACAGATAGGACTCAGTAGTCTTGTCTAGTCTGATATACACGAGAATGCAACCCGGAGTAGCAAAAAATAAACATTTTATCAATTAAATTGTAAATTTCCAGAAACCACGGGGTGTGAACCCTTTGGCTCGATACTATGGATACCGCAAACCTTCGG